TTGCCATGTCTGTCTTTTATTTCCCCAGTGCAGATGAGGAAAGAGCTGGTCTTGGAACCTAAGTTTACGCAAGTGCAACACAGGCTGCCACGTCCTGGAACCGAGCCAGAAGCGTAGGACTGGGATGGCAGAACCCTCCTGCAGAGAGGAATACTGTTTTTTGGCCCACTGATGAGTTTGCCCACTCACAGCAACGTTCAGCCTGGACACCAAACTGGTAGGCAGGTAGGGGTGGAATTGTGCAGCGCTGCTGCTCGCTGATCAGCAGCTACCCGGCCCGGTACCGGGGAAGGAGCTGCCACGTGCCTCCCGTTCATCTCAGCAGCTGTGGTAAAACCGCGCTGCAGCAGCAGGGCAGGCAGCCCTGGGAAACCAGATGTTCGCTGAGGATGAGCTGGGAAGGCTAAGAGATGGAGCTGGAAGTGGGCAACTGCACCTAACGCGAAGGACAACGCGAAGTGGGCGCACCGCCGTAAGCAAGGCTGTGCTCAGGTGGGCGGCGCATCCGTAGCGGGAGGTTCCCAGGAGGCAGTTGCAACGCGTGGAGTAAGACAACCCCCATTTCCTGTTTAAAAGATGACCATGTTCAGTGGTTCAGACTGCCACAGCCTAGAGGTGGGAAGCACCCCCTGTTACTCCCTGTAGAAACTCCAGGCGAGCACTCCTGCGTGCCTGCCTTGCTTCTCCTTATTCTCGCCCAGGACTCCCCCAGTGTTTCGGGTGAGGCTGCGCTGGGCTGGCTCACTGCTGCTCAGCTCAAAGCAGACTCCATCTCCTTAGCAAAGTCCTCTCAGCTAATCCACGGTGCTAAACGTGGGCAGCACCTGCTGTAGCCGCTCCGGCTTCTGCCTCACCTGTGCAGTGAGACTGTATGCAGACACCGTTTGTTCAAGCAGGCAGTTAGCAGTGATGAGCAGGTGGCAACCTGTCAGGGCACCTTGTTAAGAGAAGCATCCCAATCTTTAATGATAAAAGTAAGGAGGGCATTTTTAAGCAGTTGGTGAAGCTGAAAACCCCCCTTGTTTTCAGCTGTTTTTTTTTTCAGAAGATGTATATTAAAAAATGTTCAGGTTTTTTTTTTTTTCCTCCATAGGAAAACTAATTGGCTTGTTCTCAGCTTCTTGGAAACTGGGAGTTCAGCCACGTTCTTAAACATAATGCCTGCCTGTGTCACTGCCACCACCCAATTGACACCAGTCATCACGTAAGAGGATGGTGTCTTTGAGCACCTGCCACCCTCCCTCCTCTGCTCCCTCCTTTGCCAGGCACTTTAAAAAAAAATCCCCCAGACCTTCAGAGGCCAAACCGATAAAACCCAAAGCAGTAAAACCCAGTGCTAAGATTCTTCTGTGAGCATCAGTTTAACGTGGTCGCAGGCTGGTGAATAATGCTGAAGCGAGACGGTTGTTTCCCTGCAAGATGACACGGAGCCAGAGCCTCTTCGCCTTCCTCTTAAAAAATAAAATAGGGGGAATATTTATGGGCACGTTTGGGTATAAAACATTGAGAGCAGTAAAAAGGAAAGAAGGCGTTATATGACCATATCCAGTATTTTCTGCAAAGATAATTAACAGCTCTAGGACAGCTAATTTACATGTTAATGAAAGTGCTAGCAGGAAAGCCAATTAAAGTGGATTTATACAAGTCAAATAAAACCTGCTTTATTACTCTCCTTGACTAAGAGAAGTATCTGGCCTTCAGCATTACAGCTGAAGTCCCCGTGCATGGCAAGGTGCCCACTGAAGTCTGAACCCCACAGCTCGCTGGTTCACACCATCAGCGACAGCGCACGCCGTTTGGCCACAGCAAATCAAGGGAAAGGAACGGGCAGTCCAGCTGAAAAGGTTACAGCCAAGCATGAGGAATCTCCTGTCGCCGTGTATCATCTTCCACAGCGGTGCCCAACATCCCGGCCACGTGCTTTGCTGCAGCAGGTGCTTGGGACCTGGGTTCTAGTTTCAATGGTCAGGGGAAGCTAAGCAGGGCCAGGCTGGCTCTGTATGTGGAAAGCCACCCCAGAAAGCCGGGACTGCAGGAGCTGGCCGTTCTGCCCCTCTCGTTCAGGATTAATCCGAGCCCGGCTACATGGTGAAGAGACCAAGCAACCTGAACTAGGGAAGCACAGCACGGCTCTGTCCTCAGCTCTGCTGCCCCTTCTCACTGGGACATCGCCAAAGGAAACCAGTGCTCCCAGCGAGAGCTGTCAGCCTTGAGGGACACATAACGGGTGGCAGGGAGCCGCTGCCCCAGGACGCGTTTCACATTGCGAAATCTTGGAAATCTTCAAACCGTTGGCCCTGGCTGTGAAGCCAGCTGCCAACAATTTTCCAGGTGCACGTTCCTAAGCATCTCTCGTCTTACTTAACCCGAGATACCTTGGCGAGAGACCAACACCGTGCGAGCTGGCCCAGGACACCGTAGTACAGCAACCTGAAGTCACTACAGGCATCCTGGCTATCCAGCTGCACTCGTATTTGGGGGGGAGCTAAGTGGTTCTCCTCAATCCCTGCCCAATGTAGCTTTTTCAGGTGGGTGATTACTGAAACAAGGAGAACCAAGACATCATTTAGAATTTCCACTCTGACAAAACAAGTTTTGTTTTTTTCCTTTTTGTCCAGAATTGACATTTTCACCAGCTGGAAAACTCCTTTCTAGCTAGCTGCTCTGCCTGGCACCACGGAACACAAGGCAGAGGGAAAGCCAGCTGACGCTACCGTAATCACAGCAACTGAAAACTTGATGACTTGCTACTACAAACACCAACGCAGCTACACGAGAGCGCTGGTCAACACGCACGAGAGGGCTGACAGACCCCTCCTAGCCCTCCCCTCCGGTCTCACTATTTCATAGGCTGACAGACTGGTTTGGGTTGGGAGGGACCTTAAAGACCATCTAGTTCCAACCCCCCTGCCATGGGCAGGGACACCTTCCACTAGACCAGGTTGCTCAAAGCCTCATCCAGCCTGGCCTTGAACACTTCCAGGGATGGGGCATCCACAGCTTCTCTGGGCAACCTGTTCCAGTGCCTCACCACCCTCTCTCCATGAAGAATTTTTCCTGATATCCAATCTAAACCTCCCCGCTTTCAATTTAAACCCGTTACCCCTTGTCCTGTCACTACAGGCCCTTGTAAAAAGTCCCCCCCAGCTTCCTTGTAGCCCCTTCAGGTACTGGAAGGTGCTATAAGGTCTCCCCGGAGCCTTCTCTTCTCCAGGGGGCTTCAGCCTTGGATGCCGGAGCGCAGACGGAATACCACTTCTCAGACAAGCCCCCCACACCTAGACATCTGCAGCGGGGCCCCCAGCTGGGTGGGGGTGAGGGCATGGTTTGAGACCTACAAATTTACATAAAGGCACTGTTCTGCATGAGCCCGACACCAGGGAAGCACGAAGGCCTAAGCTGCTCACGGGAGGCAGACATGAATGCTACATGCACCAGACCCCAACTGGCCCTCAACGCCTGCACGTGGTTTAGGAGGCACCGCTGCAAAATCCAAAAGCGCAGCTGAAAAGATGCTCAGTTTGGCGAAACATCGACAAACGGTTGCGCCCCCTGCACCACGCCTCCTGCGGAAGGGGAAGCGTTCCGTTCTGCCAGCGTGAGACAATGGCTACGAAACAACGCGGGTCTGCCTTCACCAACAGCGAACACGAGTCAGGGCAGTCCTTTGGCAGAATGTTCACCTTTAATACGTTTTGTGGCACACTTAGTACATTTTTAAAAACACATTTTGTTACTATAGGCCAAAAAACAATCCCAAAACCACCAAACCCAACAACTCCCCCCCCCCCAAATATTAGTTTTAAAAGTTCCATGTATATACATACAGTTACAACGAGGAGAAAGTTGCCCCGAGTTCCAGTTCCAGTAACAGAACAGATGCAGCTGCTGGGATCAACGTGTCGCGTCACTGATGTGAATCCCCGTCCCTTCAAATCAGTACAAGGTTTGTCCCACTAGTCAGAACCCTCTCTAGTCACAATGAATTCCACATCCCCTCTACTTTGTGAATACAAAGTGGTTTAATATATTTACAGCCTGAAGTTTAAACCACAGGGTAAAAAGGGTAAACCTCTTCAGAAGTTACACCGGCTGTGTTACATTTTCTATCTGAAATACCGCCGTGCAGTCTTCTTACCTACCCCAGCAATAGCAGACCCCTCTCACACAAGGGATGTGTGACCACCTTGTGCAGCTCGGGCAGCACAGCCCGACGGTCATGGCCTATGCTTGTTTTCTGAGGGGGTTGGGGGTGGAAAGGAATGAAGGAAAGAGACCGCAAGTAGACTAGGCTGCTTTTAACTACATTGCAAACTATCTAAAACATTAAAGTGACTGAGCACTGCCCTCCTGCCCAAAAAAAGACCCCAACCCCCTTGTTTCTCATCAGTCCTGTTAAGGTATCCTTACCATAAACACAAACTGAAGTAAGAGGACACTGCTGTTTTTTTCTGGATCTACACCAATAAACACGCTGGTGCCTCCAGAAACCAAAACATCTGGGATCTCCTGCATTTTCCAGTGGGCCTTACGATCACCTGAATGTTTGCCTGCTTTACTTTTTCTCCGCCTGAGCTCCAAACTCTAAGCATCCGCATTCTTGGTCAGGGCTGACATTGGTCTTATTCCACTGGAGCATTTTCAGTGCTGCTCTTTAATTCGGCTAAAGAAAACGTTTCTGAGGGAGCAGCACATCTGTGCGAGACAACCCACCGACCTACCTCTTCCTCATGTGGAGGAGAGATGCCGCGTTTGCCCAGATATCCTGGGCACTCTCCATTAGCCTAGCTGTGTTGTTCCAGAGGGATATCGGTACGGTCTCTTCCACTGAACCCCATCCCCTCCCAGCCAAATGGCCGGGAATTCACAGGCATTCTGTCGACAGGTCGCAGTCACTCTAAGCCAACACCCAGTTTCCTCTTTGCCAAGTTTACAGGGCTTGAGTTTGCGCTTGTCTTGAACGTGTTTTGGAAACACGCTGGAGAGGTGTCCGAGTTGGGGATGGACCGAGGAAGTACTGTCAGCAGCAGATACTCTCGACATAGCATCTTTGTAGTTCTGCAGATCCCCTAACGTGCGTTAGGGGAACTCGCTGTGTTACACCAAATGGAGGAAGTAAGCAGCCGAGGATGCTGAGTCTCCAAACTCAGTCTCCAAGTTCTTGGGCTAAAACATCCTGAATGAACTTCAGCGTATGTTGGTACAGGAAAGCATCCTTCTTCTTTGGCTTACAAATATTCAGATGGTTGACATCCACTGGAATAAGGTCTCCGATTCCTAAGTCTGGGAGGGGGAAAAAAACAAAAGAAGAAAACCAGTACTAACGTTCATAAGATCAGCTGGAGTGAAAAGCTCGCCTTGCACTAGCACTTTCAAAAGCAACTTCTCCTGTCTTCAGCTGAACTGTTTTGTCTTCGCTGTTCTGTCGTGTGCTGAAGCACCAGTTCACACTGTCACAGTCAGGCAGAGCTATACATGGCTACAAAACCCCCAGTGGTAAACCATCAGGGCAGAGTTCTGCTGTCTTGATTGGGAACACACAAATGCACACGTCTCCATACAGACAACCCCGAAGAATCCAAACTTCATTTCCCAGCACCGTACTGGCAGCCAAGTCCCGACTGGAGTTTAAGCACTGCCATGAGCAGGGACAGGGTTTAACCCAGGGTTATCTAGATTCCGATCACCACTAATTCCCCATATTCCTTATAAAGTACTTTGATATGGAGATTAAAAATGAGGGACTAGAATGAACCTGAAGTGTGCCACAAATAAATACACAACATTTCCGAGGAAATGAAAAATTTACATTGCTTAATTGCGGGATACAAGCATTCCATTTTCAGCTACTGATTCTGTAAGTCCTGCGTTTTGCTGGGAACTCTGTATCCTTAGCCATGTAAAATGACAGTAGGGCAGGAGGCAGAGGTGCTTTCATGTGCCTAAGCACAAGTGTAAGAAAGAGCGCGTGTGCTGCCTGTCTGCCTGGGCTTGCACAGAGCGAGTGGCTTGACACTGAGCCGTCACGGGCCCTCTCCTGGGCTTTTGAGAGCTCACGTCCCGCACCGTCTCCTCGCCAGTAAAACTGCATCAGCAACATTTTTGCAAACAATTGCTCTTTGAGAAGACATACTGAAACAGTATTGCTAACTATCCACTGAGGAGAGCAGGGCCCTATATAGTCTGCTTTTTTCACAGCGACTAACCTTGCATTTGACCTACTGGATTTAGCTGGTGGAAAGCCTGAGCTAAAACCCAAAGCCATACCTTCTCTTTCAGGCCTTCCAAGCACCTTGGGCAGTGCAGAAGGGGGTTTTGCTCAGGGAAAAACCTGAAAATGTCAGTCTTAAAGCAATTCTTTATGTTGAACACCCAAAAAACAGAGAAAGCACTGTCTGGTGTTCCCTTCTCCTACAGAAGGCAAAAAGATGGAAGGAGGGAACTCTTCAGGAGGCAAACTCTACTCCTTGAGTACCTGAGAGATGGGATATAAAGGATCCTTAACACTGAAAAACAGCTTTGTGACTTTTTCCTTCCATTGGCACTTTGCTAATTTTCCTTCTTATTTTTTAAAGGAGGAAATAGCTGGAATTTGCGGGACCATCTGAAACCCGATTCAGCCGACTTCTACAAGGATAAACAACACTTGCTCACAATCAGAAAGGCAAGGACAACCACCATGTAACATCAGCCCAGGGTCTACCCTGCTTTTTTTCCATACGCAGGTGTTAGCAGCATTTAGAAAAATCAAACCGAACGATCGCTATTCTGAAACACAAATGTAGCTGCCTCTGATTGCAGCAGGAGACTGTAGCTTAAACTCCACCAAAAGTTTAAAAAAAAAAAAAACCAAACCACAACGTAACAGATGTATTTTTCTAGGTCTTTCTACCACAGCAGTTATCTTCCTTCCTCATATTGATGCTCACATGAACACGTACACAATGAAACACATTAAATGGCTTTTGGACTCACTTGCTGATTCCAGAGGTACGACGTGGAGCTTTATCATGCTGCCTATGTGTGTTGGCAAGGTTTCTGCAAAACTCAGCACTGAAAATTTCTTATCTTTGGCAAAAGACAGGAAGTCATCGTTCAGCTCTTTCAGGGCAGGAGAATCTAAGGAAGAGCAACATATTTTTTTGCAGTGCGATCTTAAACATCAAGATTACAGCATCTGTCTGGCAAGACTGCATTCCTAAAGAGATGCTCTGGAAAAATTAATACTCCAGTCAAAGGAGTAGCATTTTGTCTGTAATCCTTTTTTCTAGCTATCATATGCAACGACTGTTTGTTTCTGCAGAGCATGGAATTTGTGTAGAAGAGCCTAAAGTCCAGCACTTGTTGAGTTACTACATTCCTAAACGGCCCACACTATATACCTTGTTCTATAACCTTGTTCTGACTCGCGTTTCTCCCCACACACACACCTCTTCAATCACATGAAACAGTTACTCAGAGTTACTTACACTCATTCAATACACAACCCAAAGCATAAAAAGGGAGGTGCTTGGTTTTTATCCAGCTTTTTCTGACAGCACAATAAAAAAGCAGCATCATGAAAAGATTAGCATAGATCCCCGCTGTTAAGTAGGAGCAAAGCGAGCGTACCCTTGCTGAGTTCTTTAACCTCCACAGACGGAAAGAGAAGATATCTGGCATTTATAGAATATTCAGCCAGCTGGGAACCATGGTGCGGTACGCTATAAAATATGATTCCTCTGGTGTTGTTTACAATTTTACCCATTTCTGGATTCTTGGAAGCATCCACCAGCATCTTTTTGACTAGAAGACCTGGCAATTGGAAACTGAATTAATGCAGGGATTTAAACCACCGTGAAAATCACAATCGTGCTATATTGTCCATGAAACAACTAACCATATTCTTGCCTCAGTTGATTAGTCCTTAGTTTGTCAAATATGTAAGATTACGATGTGAAAAAAACCCCAACCAACCAAACAAAACCTGAGGAGGCATTAAAATAAAATGTCAATGAATGATGCAAATCCAATTGTGGTTTGCTTTAAGTGTTGCTAATGACTTTTACTATATGCCTGATCGTAGAGAAAATTTTGCCTCTGGATTCCCATTTACAGGGATTTCAACTCATTGATTTTCGTGTTTTTAAAATCAACACAGTAACAAACCAAACGGCAATAAAAATCCTTGCAAAAGGCCCGTGCTACCGCATCTAACGCATTAAGAAAGTGCAAGTCTGTTTGGCAGGTTAGGTGTCTGCAAACCGTTCAGGTAAACTCTTCTGAACGACTGCAGTTCAGACTGAACTTGGTTAGCAGCTTCTGCTGAGATACAGCGGCCGATACGTATGTCGAACAGGCCACGTGCTTACCCCCCATGCTATGTGATACCCACACCAGAGGTCTGTCTCCGATCCCAGCGGCTCTGAGCTTGTCGAGAAGCTCATTGCTCCGGAAAGCAATAGACTTCCTGCAAAGAAAGAAAACAAACCCAAGCACGATGAAGCATGACAGGTTAAAAGGAAATGTTAGAACGAATTCTCACTGCTGCACGTTTATAAAGATGAATTAGGTTCACAAGTCATTAATTAGTTAATTATTGTCGCTGCATTGAAAAACCTTTGCCAAGGACTTCTGTAAAGTTGGCGTCACAAGGACAACAGGAGTTGGGCCAAAGTCTGCTTCTTGATCTTGCTGGACAGTTTCATTGTCATTTCACTCACCGCTCACTTCCTTCAGCTTTAGTTCCACAGATTTCTTTATGGGTTTTTTGACTGTTTCATTTGCACATTGTAACAAAGTTACGTTTTCATGTTATGAAAGCATTGTCAACGCCTAATGACCTTTATCCCCTGAAACATGAATAAACCTCATGTCTGACAAAAATGGCCTTGGCTAAACAGTGCTCAAAATGTGCAGCAATGTACAGGAAACTCAATAACTAAATGCCCGACCAACCAATACATTAAAAAAAAAAAACAATCACAGATAATATCTGTTACACTTTCCAGACAATAATCTCCAAATGTACTGGAACAGTAGAGCAGCCCAGTGATCTCCACTTTATAAACGAACAGACTGAGCTCTGGAAAGGATAAGCTACACGTTAAAGGTTGAAAACAAACCTATGGTACAACTGAAAGCGAACCAATGCCAATTCCCAATCTTAGCTTTGAAGTGCAACATTGTTACTCCTTGCAGTGTGACAAGAATCAAGCACAGAAGACCCTTGGATAATGGAAAAATCAGGATATTGGGGCAACCACTGTGCAAAGTCCAGTTCGCTACATCGCTATTGGTTCTCGGCGTTCTCACTAGAAATTGCTCTGATAACACCTATTAAAAGGATACTCAGATGTATCTTTTCAGCTGAACAATAGGCTTTAGGATAGCTGAGGGACGTAAAAATACCCTTTTGAGCCAGTGAATGAGCTTATACACTTAAAGCAGTCAGAGCGTTGCGATTCTACTGCTACATCTTTCTTCCTGCTAGTTAAAAATGTCTTGAATCTCTTTCATTTTTTATTAACCGTATCAAATTGTAAAATAATCAAATGCTACACTTGGGTGACCATAAATAGCAGGTAATACAGTTCTCTATTTCATCATGAAAAAGACATTATATTTAAATAAAGAAATGTATGTGTACTTATTTTTCAAAATTTCTTTCATTATACTTACTCCAGACACAGGGAAAAAAGTTCTCTTTGTGAGGTAACCACCGACATGTTTTTTGCTGACACTGTTCTGCCTGATTTCAAACAGGCATGTTAACAGCCCTGTCTCCCTTATTTTTTCCCTGCTTACATGCCGGAACAGAGTGTAAGAATTTGGGAAGTTGCCGCAAGTACTTCTCCGAAAGACTAAAAAGCTCGAGTACACCACGAGTGTGCCTAATGCTTTTCCAAGCTTGATTTGCAAATGCAACAGGCAAAGTCAAATTCACTGTTTCGCACTAGGTGATCCCAAGGATCGGCTTTACAGGTCTCCCTCCTGCCCCCTCTCCAAACTGCAGACACTTCATTTGTTACCTGTGAGCCTCAACAGGACATTTGGCTTTCCAGTCACTCAAATGGGTGTCATATTCCACAGATATGATCCTAAGGGCGGGACAGTCTGAAGCCAGCCACGTCTAAATTGAAGAAAAACAAAAACCAAAGGAGCTTATAACTCAAGTACTTAAACTCTTGCAAACAATTTGTCAGCAATGGAGCCAAGATGTTACTAATGGGACAATATCCAGCAAGATTTCTGCTCCTCAGTTAATCCCTAAACACATCTTACACCTAGACTATTATTCTTTAATTACATGCTGGCAAACCCTAGCCCGTTCCCCAGCCACAAAGTAGGCAATGATTGGGGATGGATTACTAACTCGTGCATTCCCGGCTCCCTCTCCTGGGTGAAACAGGAATTACCAAGATTTCCAACAGGACCGATCAGTTTAAATTTTACAGGGGTACTTTGGTGGCTATAGCAATGCCAGCTGCTTGAAGCTGTAATTATTTACTGACCAATAATATTTAAGCAGCAATCTGCGAATACCGAGGTACTCAGACACCTGTGTAAAAAAGCAAATTTATTTTAAAATGCAATCTTATGTATCTTTTTCTCAGCAATAAAATTTCATTAAAAAAAAGCAAGCAAGCAGGAGGAAAGCAGCCATCACCCCCTCTTTCACCGGCAGAAGGATGGTGAGAGCATTCGGTGTAGCAGGGATTTTCCTTTGCAAGAACAACCTGCTCAAAACTTCAGCTTGCTAACGAAAATGTATCAGGAACTTGGAAAGTGCTACTTGTATAAGAGATTTAAAGTACTTTGATTCAAAACAGACAGCTGCCAGCCAGTGTAATTCTAGATCCTCTGGACAGCTCTCATTAAGGAGAGAACAGCAGCTGCATGTGAAACGTCAATGCCTCTTTACCTTTGGCCAGCACTGGCTGTAGTCCTCTTCCTCTTCCGAAGCCTTTTTATCCAAACGCCGGTCGATGTCTTGCTGTCGCCAGGTTTTAAATGCTGCTCCCAAAAGACCATGGACAAAAAGGATGTCTGCTCTGATGGGCTGACTGATACAGAAAAAGGAATTTTTAAGAGACGCAAGGTACATATTCTTTTATCAAATTAAATTTACACAGAACTTTTAACCTAAGGGATGCCAAAATGCTATCTTTAACACTACACGTGACATCTTACCTTACGGACCATAGTTCATGACAAATCATGGTATTTCAAAGAGGATACTCAGATCAAGACAAAAAAACAGGGATCCACCCAAAATAGAAAGATATAAAAAAAAATATGGGAAATACCAACCTCGCACGTATTTTTCTCTAAAACCACCACTCTCTCCACCTACTCTTAATGCAGCTTGGTAGTTCCAGCTTTATCATCAAATCAGGTTTTCACTGTAACCTGATCAAGACCGATGACTCAGGGAATAGTTGCTATGAAGCGACATACCACACCGGGGACTGCTCCAGTCCCAGATAGACAAGCACTGCTAAAAGCAGCCAAAGCTGCAAATCCACTGCATCTTAGGCCAGCGTGTGCTGCCGCCAGCAGAACAATCACCAGGCACCATATCCCACGACAGCCAGAGCAAAGGTCACATGGCTGCCATGCACGCAAAGAAGTAATTCATCTCACGACTTGTGTCTGGATTTTTTCAGGTAACACAGTAATACTCTTTTCATGGCGATGGGCTGTTTCCTAGCACTTCTGGGGTTCTCCAGTTTGAGAGCCCAGATTCAGTCCTCTCAGAACTCCAGAGAACAGGTGGAGCAGGTGAAATCAGCACAGCAGCACTCTGATATCCACTCTTCCCAAGAGTGTAACAAGTAACTCAAAAGTACAGGATGTACAGTATCTCCTCCTGCTTTACCTGCTACGATACTGTGGATGTAAGACGTACACGCCATCTGGATACTTTTCATGCACTGTATCCCTGTCTAGGTTAGCCAAAGCTCTGGAAGCATGAGAAGACTGAATGACATGTGGAGATTTCATTACTTCGGCGAGTACAGAAACCCAACCTACGTTGGAAAAACAAAGTGACAGGTTAACGGCTGAGAAAGATCATCCAAACAAAAGAATGCAGACACATCATCATTCAAAGTATACTTGTGAAAATGGAGTTAAAACCTAAGAATGGTAACATCAGAACAAAGTGTTTCAATCCACTCTCTTTACCGCAGACAAGTTCATAAATAAAACCTGGGAAGAATTCGAAAAGAGATTTTCAAATGGAGAGAGATTTGAAAAGGAAGAAACGGTTTACTGAAAGAGTACTGTTTCAGATTCATGCACAATACATTGCTGCCGGTACAGGCATTGTTTAAATGCAAGTACTTTCAAGAACAGCCTTTTTTTTTCTTTTAAATTATGTACTTCAATTACATTTCTAAGCAGAACAGATGTTGACTGCTGTGCACGTTCTCCTTAGGAATACTCCTATCTAAAACCTATTTTCAGTTCCCCAGATACAATGAAAGACTGCCAAGCTACTCTGATTAAAACCAGCAAGGTCTTCGGTTCTTTATTTCTCTTAAATGAGCCAAGATGAAGGGTCAAAAACAGTGTTCAAAATCCTCCTGCCCCCTTGACACCACTTCATAGCTGCTACATGGTGCATCATTGCTTTTCTTTCTCTTCCAGAGCCAGCAGTTTTGGCAAAGAGCAAATCTTGGAGATTCTCTCTTCTTATGCACCATCCAGCAACCCAAGGGAAGTCTTATCAACCCTTGACCAGCTGCAACTGCTCATCCCTCAAGTCCAGTTCACTGCCTAAAATTCTGTTTGTACTGGGAGCTCTGCCCCAGGGAGCTGCTGACTCTTCCATTACAATCTCTTCCTCTATACCTATGGTTTTGGCAGTCATCGTAACAATGTAAGAATGGTGCTAGAGATCAGACCAAAGGCCTTCATAGGCTGCTTTCTCCAAAAGTGAGCAGTAACGGAAGTTGTGGAACAATAAAAGAATAAAAGAAAGGGCAAGTGCATAGTGCTGATTCTAAACTACACCCCAGCAGTTTTCTACAATCAACGTGGCTTTTGTGTGTAGAGCTTTATAGAATTTTCTTTCAATTAATTTTTCTAATCACTTTTTGAAGCTTTGTAAGTCTTCAGCAACCACAATGTTTTGTGGCAAGTTCCAGTTTGGTCATGCGCTGTGCAGAAAAGATATTTATTTGTTCTGCCTCTTGATAACTTAACGTACAAGAACCGTCGGTCTTGTGTTACGAGAAACAGCAGATGACCGTTCACTCTTTACCTTCTCTACCCCAGTGAGGATTATTTATAAATCTCCATCATATTCTCCTTCAGTTCTTTTTCCAAACTAAGTGTCTTAGTCTACCCATCTGTTCTTTCTACCACAGCCATTCCAGATTTTTAATCATCCTCAAGGTCTTTCCCTGTGCTCCTTCTCCTTTTTGCAACAAGGACATTAAAAGCAAGGCAGACACCAGCTGGGATGTACACAACAGCATATTTTCTTTTTTCTGGGTCTTTTGTTTGTTTGTTTCTGGTATGTCTGTTTGTTTGGGGGTTTGTGTTTTGTCTTGTTGTTTGATTTTTTTTTTTTAATTTCTGTTCTAATAAAATATTGGGAATTATTTATTTGGTACAGAACTAGAAGAACTAATTTCATTCTGATATTTAGGGTCTATTAAAAACGGGGCATCAGAGCAAGGCTTAGCAGAAGTTACTAGCTTAACATGATACAAGGGAAGGCAGAAAAGCAATGTTTCACTTTATGCTAAAAGGTAAGGACTACAAGTTGATCTGTTCCTTAGTTGTAAGACTAAAACACAGTTAATCCAAAAAAAATTAATCTACAAGGTAGATGATCTGTAAGAGTAGGAAACAAAAAAGATTTTTGCCAGTAACGTGAACCAAAAGTTGAATTTTCACCATTTTTCAGACATAGAACACCTCTGTAGCACTGCCACAGACTGGCTAAACAGCATACAGGAGTTCTTCATCAACACTATCTACACTGTTTGTATTTTCTGTATTTAAAAACACCCCCACCACCACCAGCTCCCCACCCCCAGATATAAAAACATGCCAAGTCTCTTGCATTTTACAAAAGCACCGAATCCTCTGAATATTTCAGAATAGAAATTTGGCGCCCAACCTGCTTGCACTTGCTTTCCTTTTACCTGCACGTACTATGGATGAATGAAGACGTTCATCCAAAGCCATATTGCCAATAATGCGAATTATGTTCCTCTGTATTTTTGCTGAATCTTTACGCAGCTGGTATATTCTCTGTAGTAGCTGAAGGCCTCCTTTAGCTTCAATTTTATCACAGTGAGAAGAAACCTAGCATCATACGGTAAATACAGTGACAGTAAGTAGATGTTCTGTAAAAGGTTCTTTGAGGTGGTGTTAATTCACAGATTAGGGAATTTTAAAGAGCTGATACGATGCAGAGGCTTTATTACACAGAAATACTTATTAATACAGAATTTATTATGCCATAGTTGAAGAGGACGTAAATATTTCAATATTGTAAATGCATGATTTCTACAGATTTACAACCTGAAAGATGCTGAGTACCATCACTCCACACTCCTCCACATCTGAGGGAGATGAGATTGCTCTCCACCTGGCATGATCAAATTTAACTACAGTTCAAGAGTCTGAACAGAACAATTGTCTGCATTTGGTCAAGCACTGTCTCAGCCAGAGCCACTTGTATTCCTGTTCCCAACCTAAAATGCAATCATTATATTCCCTTCTATTTCCAAACAGTACAGCTATCATATTAAGGGCAACAATAGATTCTAGTCCAAGCAGATGAATATGGACTAATTAGCTGCAGCGTCAACTAACAAGACTGGCCAAATGATTGTAACTGGAATGTGCTTTCTACAGTGCTTAAAAATGTGTGGAAGTCATGGAGCTGCTGATGCCCTCACGCTGTGGCTTTCAACAAAGACCAACACATGTTCGGAGTGAATACAGTCACAGCTTGTTTAAACTCAAAAATCTGGAATATAACAAAGTTTTTAAAAATATATTTTACAGGGAAACTTACAGCAGCTAATTAGAAACACTGACAGGACTTACATACACTTCCCATGAGAAAAAGAATGAGATTGTTATGCTGGTTTCCAATTCACATCTGTCTCAGTTGTCTGAGATTTACAGAAGGGGCGAGGGGTAGGAGACAAGGAAATGGCAACTCCTTCCCAATATATGAGAAAGTATTAGAAAGGAATGTTTATAAATGTAGCTTTTCAGTTCCAGTTTAAAGGACAAATTACCTTAGAATGCTGCACTAAAGCTTGCAAGCAAAAGAGTTCCACTGTCTCTGAAGGGATTTTACTCAATGTTTCACAATATGGAAGTCCATTTCCTCCAAAACACCATAAGCCTCCCTGAAATGAGAATCAGTACAAATTACACCACATTCCAAATGGCTACATAAAATAAGCATTTCTAAACTGAAATGTTACATGTGTAACGATCTATAGAAATTGCTATAAAGAGTTCACAGCATGCATGCATTTTTCAAAATGTACAAATTACACAACAGTACACCATAAAAATATCTACTATTTTTAACTGAAAATATTAAATAGATTTTCAGTCAGTAGCCTCCATAGTCTATTAACTCCAAAACATTCAATAAAGGAGGAAAATGTAGGCTTTTCATTTTGTTAACAAATGTCTTCTTAAGATTGTTTGCTTAAGCAAAAAAACGTAAGAATCAGACTACATCTAGACTTCCATCGTTGCAAACATGAGAAGGGAAGGAAAAAAGGTCTTCAGCATGTAGCATAGTCCCTGAAGACCAAACTGTCTTAATCGTGCAGTAGCAAGACCAGCATAACAACAGTGAAGAGCAGTTTTCTAGAGCAGTGTGATTATCAAAATGCCCCCAAGTGTGGTGTCTTAGCAAAGCTCCTTTTGTATAGCTAGAGCTCTGGGTGTGAAAAAAAATAAAGGAGTCAGTGTAAAAACATTACAGATAATTGTGTCATAGGAAATTGCACCCTGAAATACCTAAATAAAGCCTGTCAGGCATCATTATTAAAATATGACAGTATTTTTTATTGTTGCACCTTACAAAAAATAATCATTCCCAATCACAACTTTTTAGTAATTAAATAAAATGCACAAGAGAGTGGATGACACTGGCATTTATCAATCAAATTATTATTTTTGAGCAATAACAGCCACTTTAAAGGATGTTCTTAAAGCCACTTAGGAAGTTGGTGGACTGAACTGAAGAATTCCAAAGTTCCAAGTCCAAACAGACAACTACACTGTTCCAATTCTAGTTTTGGCACCATCGACGTGTTACATGTAGGCATGTTCTGTGTCATGTAACAGAGCTTACTACTTAAGGGGCAATAACAACTTATCAGTTTACTGGTAAGACTTAAAAGAGGTTTAATCATCTCAGCGGTAAAAGAACATTCAAACAATGATAAGATAAAATGTGAAAAAAACATTTTATGAGCACTGGGAGGGGAAGGAAAGGTTCTGGACAAAATGTTGAAATATCCACTTTATGGGAAGGCTTGTAAGAAAACAATCACAGAATCATTTAGGTTGTAAAAAGACCTTTAAGATCCTCGGGTTCAACCATAAACCTAACACTGCCAAGTCCTCCACTAAACGATGTCCCTAAACGCCACATCTGCACGTCTCAAGTATCTCTAGGGATGGTGACTCCACCTCCCTGGGCAGCCCGTTCCAATGCCTGACAGCCCTTTCAGTGATAAAATTTTTCCTAATATACAAACTAAACCCCTCCTGGTGCAACTTGAGGCCGTTGCCTCTTGTCCTATCACTTGTCACTTGGGAGAAGAGACTGACACCAACAAGAGATTTTACTTATGTTGTACTTAAGAGTGACACAAGATATTTCACCTACGCTGTACGATCACAAAGTCTCTGTATTTCTCTGCCTCTTACAATGCTCTAAAATATTGAAATAGGTTTGTGTCTGAGCTCTGCAGGAACAAAGAACCCAGACAGTACTGTTCTGGAGGTGGGAACTCACCCTTTGTGCAGCGAGAGTCTGACTACTTTCACGTAAAGCAAGAGATGTGAAGTACTGGACGCATGGATCAAGACCAGTCTGAGGTAAAGACACTAACAACAAGCGAAGTTCATCTTCTATGGGATAATCCTGTGAGAAGGAAGCACAAATAGCTCTTAGCTCTGCTCAAGGCATGAAGCAAGACACTACTGCAAAAAAATACTAGTAAAAACCACAGACAACACTTCTTTTAATATTTTATCTTCAAAATATTAATATAGATATTTATTTAATAATCTAGAGTAGGTGACAGGAAAATAGGTTCAAGAAAGTAATTTTATTTGCCGCAGTCATGGAAGTTGCAGTTATTCCAATCTTTGCTACAATCAGAGATGGAGGCGTATCTGATGTGCAACACTTGCTGCCACAATTATTTGCTTCAACTTCCTAAGCAAGCAGATTGGGAGCTCTGAGCTTCAATCACCCAGCAGTCATACTGCTGTCAAAATAAAGTATATACACAACCATATACTTTAGTACTTCAGGACTTGCAGGTACAGATTCCTCATCACGTGATGTTACAGAGATAAGAAACCAAAAAGCGAGAATACCACTGGCTTTCAACATTTTGTCTGTTAAGACCTACAGGCATTCTCTGACAGGGGCTCTGGCCAGCATTCACTATTAGCATTACAAAAGACCTCTTATATTACACTTTCTGTGACAATTCTGTTTACTGAAGAGGACGATGTGATGACATGATTGCTCAAACCATCATATGATGGATACACATATAGAGAGAATACACATACACACTTACTAACTGACATAAAACAAGGCCAAATCTACCCAATACGGATTTGTTGGTACCCAAGGGCTCCCAATAAAGAGCTGGGCCTACAGCAGAAAGAAAACAAGGCTGTAGATCTTACTCTAAGTAAGGAGGATGGGGAGGAGCCACATCTCCACCTCTCAGTCTCTAGAGGTATTTGTGAGTTTAAGACAGATTAAAGCTGTTCTAGATGTTACATATTTGCTTATCCAATTAATTCTCAGTTACTGTACTGAGGTGTAATGCATTTCAACAGCTAAAATCATACATATTGAATTTTCTGTTGGAATACTATTCAATTAAACATAACAAGTATTGTGATAACTGAAGTTAATTAAAACATAGTTAATAATAACAGTAAAGCTCACCTCCAAATGCTTTCTATAACCTCTAAATTCACACATAAGTAGATTGAGATGTCAAAAGGAGAAGACAGCAGAATTTTTAGTGAAAGACAGTGAGTATGTCTACATTAGCGATTAAATGAGCTGGAAAAATTTTTCCGGGCAGTGAATCTGCTTTGGATCTGCACTTGGGAGTCAGTGGTGCACTCAAAATGCTCTCCCTACTTGTATAATCAAGGTTAAAGCTGCGTGCCAGAGCACTACGTAGAGCACCACACTAGCGGTGAGGATGCAAAGGTCTCCAGGAGTGCCCTCCATGTGAAGGGTTCTGCCAGTATCGTCAAGGCAACCTAGGGTGACTCTGCCTAAGACAGCTCTGCACTGCTGGTTAGGTACAGACACTTGCATCAGGGTGGTAAACGGCTCAGACGTTACGCTGATAAGTGCGTCATGTGGACATAGAGTCCAAGAACAGTAATTGACCAACCCTCCCTCCTCCTTACTCCTTTCCATCATGCTATTCACTAATGCAGATATACCCCAGAGGTGTATCATTATCTTATAGATTTGTATTTTTATCTTAATTATAGTACCCACTAGTTACTTCAGAACTCCACATTAGTATGGTTACCAACAACGAAAGAACTAAAAGCAAATAAGTACGCAAAAATCATCTAATACCTACTTTTTATTTACTTACGTTCTTTATTTTTGGCAATGGTGGTGGAGGCAGGAAAAAGCGAAGGTCAGTATCTTTGGATCGAGCCAAACCTATAGCGGTCCTTTGATCACAGGTTTGGGCAACTGTACCATACTGATAATCTGTAGTACAAGAACCTCAGTGTTAGGGTCAAAACTAACCTTAAATTCACAGATTCACAGAGTGGTAGGGGTTGGAAGGGACCTCTAGAGACCATCTACTCCAACCCCCCTGCCAGAGCAGGATCACCTGGAGTAGATCGCACAGGAACAAGTCTAGGCGGCTGTTGACAGTCTCCAGAGAAGGAGACTCCACCACCTCCCTGGGCAGCCTGTTCCGTGCTCTGTCACCCTCACAGGGAAGAAGGATTTCCTCCTGTTCATGTTGAACCTTGTCTTTTCCAGTTTATGGCCATTGCCCCTAGTCCTGTCACTGGACACCACTGAGAAGAGCCTGGCCCCATCCCCCTGACACCCACCATTTAGATATTTATAAGCGTTTTAAATATAGTTTCTGATCTACTTTGTTAATATACTTGAAAAACAGAATCACCTCTCTGCAATCTACTTAAAAAAGATCTGATTTTGTAATCACTAACTCCAACAGACAAATATTGCAGCTGTTAGACCAGCACTACATTGAACTGAAGACACCTGGGCACTAATTGTTCATTATAGACCAGTTTGATAAAGGCCCTCAGATATAAGTTGAGCACAAAAAAAATCCAATGTTCAGTATTACCACTGTGGAGTACAAGGACTACACACCAAAGCTTAATCTCCTGTGCTTGAGTTAATATTTGGAACAATGCAAGCATACGCATGGTTTTTTTTCTGCACACAGTATTAAAAACCGTAGCCTTAAATCCAAATGCTGCCAAGGCAGACACCTGATTTTACATGATACAAAAGCTACGTTTGAATGAAACTTGAAAGTCACAAAATCAGGCGATCTTGATTGCCTCAGAAAAGGCAGCATAGCACCACAGTAGAGTTTGAGAGTAGCCCTCCCTTACTGAATCATAGAATCATTTAGGTTGGAAAAGACCTTTAAGATCACCAAGTCCAACCACAAACCTAACACTACCAAGTCCACCACTGACCACGCCCCATCTACACGTCTCTTAAATACCTCCAGGGACGGTGACTCAACCACTTCCTTGGGCAGCCCATTCCAATGCCTGACAGCCCTTTCAGTGAAGAAATTTTTCCCAATATCCAATCTAAACCTCCCCTGGCACAACTTGAGGCCATTTCCTCTTGTCCTATCGCTTGCTACTTGGGACAAGAGACCACCACCCACTTTGCTACAACCTCCTTTCAGGTAGCTGTAGAGAGCAATAAGGTCTCCCCTGAGACTCCTCCAGGCTAAACAACCCCAGTTCCCTCAGCTGGTCCTCACAGGACTTGTTCCCCAGACCCTTCCCCAGCTCCGCTGCCCTTTGGACACACTCCAGCACTGAAGCAAAACTGAACAGAGTATTTTGGGGTGCAGCCTCACCAGTGCCCAGTACAGCAGGACAATCACAATCAAAGAATAATTAGTGTCTGCAAAACATCCAAGTGCTACAGCAATGAGCACTACAGAGAAAAGGAGATAACAAAAAGCAACCAGTTTCCCCAGTACTGGCTATCTTGTGCACTGAGATCACCTGCTAACAGATAGCACTCTCCCACAAACACAGACAGTACACACAGCTACAGTGTTGGTATGTCCTAGCTTTCCAATGTTTTCAAGCACAGCATTTTGATGTAAACTGCTTGGGGTAATTGATTAGAATTATACAGAGGCAATCTGAAACAAGCTAAATCCTGTGGCGTGGAATTGCACTGGAAGAACGAGAGGCCCTTAACTGACTGCACTAGCGGTAAAATGGGTCAAGATTGGAGTGCCTTCTAGCTTATATGGACTAGGGGTGGAGGGGGGAGGAGGACACAGACACACACCCCCTCCTACTTTTACTTTGGGCTTCAAGGATATTCACTGCTAGAGGAACAGGGAGGACTTATTACTATTGAATAATAACAACTGGGATGGAAAATGGCTTACAAACAGCGTTTGCACATACAAGCCCTCTGCCTGATTTTCCATTGCTACCTATTGGCTCCTAAGCAATATTTATTAACTGAACCGTGGCCTTAAACCCACTCCCCTTACAGAGCCTTGCAGAAATCGCTGCCAGAACTAATGACCTCGTTAGCAGTCTCAACAGAAAAGCTAGAGAACCAATGAAAGCAAACTGCTCTCCCACACCACAGCAGTGGCTGCGATTCTCTGCTGGGGAAACAGAGAGAGGCCAGCGCTGCAGATACACGCTCTGTACCAGGGTATTAGGAAAGAGCTGCTTGAAAGGTAGATAAAACCTCCACATTTTAGACCAAATTTCGGAGCGTATTTACACTCCTTGCTGCTGCTAGCCTTTTCTCACATTGGTAGCAGACTACAACAGCTAACTGAGACTTTGTCACGGTTCTGAGATGAATTAGGCTGCATCAGCATACGTTACCATGCCAGTGCTTGTTCACCAACTCCTGTACAGCCTGCAGTCGGACCGCTTTGTCTTCTGACTGACTTCTCTTTAAGAGGAGCCATAAGGCACATTCATGATCTTCTCCATCAAATGTACTGAATTGTTCTTTTAGCAGGAAACAAATAAAACTCAAGCTATTATTAATGAGCATTTAAACTGTCACGTTTCTTTTCTTAGAGTAAAAAGAAAAAAACAAAAACAACAACAACAAAAGCCCACCCCTGTTTCTTGTTTGTTTTAATATTTGAATATTAGTCATTAACAGTAATTTGGAGTATAATGTTTTAATATTAAATCAGTAAAACAAACAATGATGGAATGGCATTAGTGAAACGCTGATCTGTACACTAATAGGATGGTCTTGATACATTTTAGTGGCACCAAGCTGATATTCCATGTTACACATGCGCACCCTGGCTGGTGCTCACCAACCAGAATTGCCAGCTCCTGCTAGGAGCTGGCCATGATGAGCAACTCCTGAAGCTCTGACCTTGAACAATTAATTTCATAGCACCCCAGTGGAGGTACATATTGTTATAACCGTTTAAGAGGTAGTTAAACAAGAACAGATAGTATGCCTCAGGAGCAGTTTCCTATTGGAACTGAAATTCTTATTTTATATTATTTCAAAAAGCAGTGACACTCTTACAAAAAGGCCTTGCAGCTCTCAGTTAATACCAGCAATTCTGATGACAGCATAACATACTTTTCTAAAATGAAATTTTGAGAGTATTTCATCCCCCAAACACCTTTCATACACAAAGCTGGTATCAAATGTTAACCTGGTATCTTAAGCTTCAAGTTTCTTGTGAAACAGGAAAAAAAAATCTCTTCTTAACCATCACTTTCATTAACGTAAAGAAAAGGAATGGTTTTATTACAAAGAAAATATACTAATATTCTATATTAATACAGGAAATTGTAGTAATATTACCACCATTTCAAGCTCAAAAGAACATGTCAAGCTTCTAAGAAAAAATATTGTACTTTCCAAAAGGCTTACGATATACTATTCAAAAATAATAATCATAGATGAAGCCATACTTTCAATACCTACCATTGAAAGGTCTCCGGAAAATTTTAGCTTCTGTTTCTAGAATTTTCCTCACTGCTTTATGGATTTCTTTTCTGGCTTGGTATGTGATCCCTATGAGAGGATTTTTAGATTACTGGAAGTCTAAAAGACAGTACTATTATTATATATACACATATATGAAAAATAGTGTATGAAATACATATACACACACATATATATATATACATATATTGAATTATGTCATGTAGAGAGAGCTATGTAAAGAACTAGCTTAAAAAAAACCCAGTTACCAGCTTAAAATAAATTTGGTGACATGGTGAAGAATATTATTTTTGTAACAGAACTCAGGAAATATATCTTTCCTTTTATAAGGGTAACTTCCAGAAACACTCCATTCTCTTAAAATTCTGTTTTTAGAATGCAAACAATTATGCATCTTACCTTGATATTCACTCAGATTTGGAGAAGTTGTACGTACGTACACATAGGATTTAAGTTTCTCTTGATGTATAGCTTGAGTATCGATTTGCAGTAACTTCTTTAAGGACAGAACTTCATATGTAATGAATACAAAACCTCTTTAAATAAAAGAAAACTGCATATGAATATTCATTTTAAAAAATCATTATGGCAAAAATATGTTAACAATCATTTTGATATAAATCATCCAGACTTTACCAAATAAATAATAGTCTGCGGATTATTTTAACTTAGCAAAGCAGAGAAAAAACTCTAAAATACAGAAAATAAATAATGACTATTAGAAAACATGCTTCAAAACTATATTCTATCATGCCTAAATGTCCCCTAATATTGTCACATTTTTTGAGAGATACATGAATTAAACTTTTAACCGAATACATAAATGACATATATGCTTGTCAGTTACAACTTACCCTACTATAAGTGATCCAGTTACCTTTGCAATTTTTCCTTAAAAAAAAGAAAAATTCATGTCAAAGTTGTGTGCATCACCTCGATATAAACATAGTTAGCATTTACCAGACAGTAAGAATTTCAGCCATGAAGCTTTTGAAAAATTTTTCTATATTGCTCTCTGACTTTCAGGAAATCATTACCCTAAATTTACAAAGAAAATGTTACTTGATTAGAATTTCCTGCTTTCCTAAGCAAGATGATAAAATATATATCCTGCCAGTGCTATTTACTTTGAGTATTGCTACCTATCATTCACGTTCATTGCTCAGCTGCAGGAATCTACAGTAAACTTTCTCTGCCTGTATCACTAGCATCCATGTGGAACTCCAGATTATTTGAAGGAGTTAACATTTTCTAACATGGTGTGGATATTTCTTCAGTGTATTTAGGAGTATGTACATTCCTTGAAAAGTCCTGCAGAAACTCCCTAAGAAAAAATATTTTAAAAGTAATTCCATTAAATCTAATTTATAACGCAAATAGCTGAACGAACACATGCCACTTGCAACAATATCCCTTTTGGGTCTAAGGATTTTTATCAGATTTGAGCAATTTTTCTGGACAAAGTTGAGCTGATTATCCTGATATAAAGATATCAGTACAGAGAAACTATATTACCACCAGTAGCAGCAAACCCAATGGAGCACATCTCAGCTATCATGAATAACTTCTTTTCTTCAGCACAAATTGGGAGATTTGCCCCACAACCACCACCACCAGGTTCTCTCTTTGCGAGACCGTAAGAATTTTGGCATGCAGACAAGCAACAGCTACATGTTGAAGAAATACCTGGCAGAGAAGGTTGAAAAGCCAAAAAACAATGCAATGCTTCCTGTAGTTTTCCTACCTTTTAATGCACAAAAATGGATTTTGGAACCTTAAGAATTGTCATTCTACACACAAAGCACCAAAGAAAGCAGACAAAGGAACGACAGAACTAGTATCAGTTAATGAGGAGGAAGAAACAATAGAAACAAACTTTATTCAAACTTTATGGATGTAATTGTTCCATGGCTCTATCATGGAAAAATCAGATATAAACCGGAGTTTAAGTTAGCTTAATGAGATTGCACCAGGGCAGGGATGTTCTAATCTCAGATAACCTGCTGGTGTCATTTTGCATATCACTGTGCAAAGCAAGGTCTTAAGCAGACATCCACTTTAGGCAAATAAAAGCTTTTGATCACAAAGCAATTAGGGATTTAGATGTTTTGTATCATTTAATTATGCACTGTGTCACACCAACACAGATTTTTCCTTTTTATTAACAAGTCAGGTCAATACATATTGAACTGTACTTACTGATATCATTCCATGGTAGGTGTGGTTTTGTGGCTGGACCAGAAGTTCCTATTTGTCTATAGCAAAATATACAGTAAGCAGCCACTGACATTCTGTATATTAGAGAAAAAAAAAAAAAAGAAGAAAAAAGATTTATTTCCGAATTACAGCAGAAAACCTGTAGTTGTTTTTTTTCCTGTCTTTTTGCAATAAAAGTCATGATAGCAAAGGTCACAATTTACAGCTAAGGTCTCAATAAAAATGACATTTTATGTCATTTCACTCCATATAAATTGCTCTAATTAAAGACATCTATAAACTCCTCAATTTTATAGGCTGCATTTCAATTACAAGAACACTTTACAGCAGTTTTTCATACAATTATGCATTAGCGTTGATTTTAGTGAGTATGTATCTCCATCAAGACATTACTCAGTAAGACACGGGCTTTAATAAAACTCAGTAACCAATTGCTTCTAAAGTTCACAACTGACTGTGTTAGCAAGTAGGTCTTTTTATTTTGACTAACAAGGCTCGAAGAACTACCACACATTTTTTGCCTTTAAAGGGCAAATCAGACTAATGCCTCAAGAATGTACAGTTAATAAAAACAAGTATTTGTTCTAAAATGCTCTGACTCTGTGGGCTTGTGAAACTCACATGGCATGCTTACAGGAAACAGCTCATTCTAGAAAAATTCTTAGATGCAAAAGAACGAAACCCTAGCCATGCCCATGCAGAAGAGGGGAACTTTTTCTAAAATTAAAGCCTTAGCAATTCAACATTATGAAGACACAAACTACTGACAGACTAACTGCACTACATTCACTGAATGTGAAATCAAACAAAGCAATGAGGATTTTTTCCCCCAAACAGTCACAAACATACGCAGGTAACATATTTTAGAACTACTAAAGTTCTGAATGTAGAAACAACTCAATTTGAGCATGAATCTCCTTGGCAGAACTATGGTTTTCATGAAGGTAGTATCGCAGCGCTTCAGAAATATGAAAGGATTTATTCTTCTAACTCACCTGTGAGGCAGAGTATTAAATTTTCCCCATTTTCCAGGTAGAAAAATGAGTTAAGACAAGCACTCTGCAACTTCCATACACATTCTACATACTACCTTGGCTCCTTGAACAAGTGGGACTGTTCTGGAGGAACCATAATGGAGCCACGCTCTTTAACCCACTGATCAAGGCTGCATCTTAACCACTGCACAGTCAGGTTGAAAGAGTATGGTTGTATCAGCTAAGCACTGAAAAACAAGGCAATCTGGGCCAGGCAAAAGCACCAACTCCTGCTGTTTCTACCACTCACATATGTTTACCATTTTATCTATTAGTAAACGTTACTCCCTTTACTTACGTACGAAAAGCTTACCTAAATTTAGGAAGTTATACAGATTGGCTTTGGCAACCCACCACAATCAAATTCTGTACATTACTTCTGCTGAAGATTTAATCTCAAGTCTTAATAGACAGAATGTGTAGTACTTTTAGTGCAAGAATTAGGCCAAAATCCACAAAGAATATTAAACTTCCACAACAATCACTAAATACACAAAAAATCTGTTGCTGCACACATAGCAGAAGTAACATGAAATTCGTATTTTATGACAGGTGACATTTTAGTGTCTGCACTGACACATTTATGCTGACTGAAACACTGAAATTAAACCATTTAAACAGATTTAGAGCCACACCACTACCATATGTTTAACAAATCATTATGTTGGAAACATAGGCGTTCCTATTAAATGTCAAATCAAGTCTGTACCACCACAACGACAATTAACTCAAAATGATAAAATGTCAAGCGTCTAAATCTCGATCAGTGAATCTGATCATGGAATATGGAAGCCCCTGATATTCTCCTTGAATTTCAGGTAATCTCTACAGACCAAAGAGAAGAGCTTTAACACCAGTGTCCAATTTCTCTGAACAAGGGGATTTATTCGTTTTATCATAGAATCACTAGGTTGGAAAAGACCATAGAGATCATCCAGTCCAACCGTATCTGTCCGCCACTAAACCATATCTCTCAGCACCTCATCCACCCGTCTCTTAAACACATCCAGGGATGGTGACTCCACCACCTCCCTGGGCAGCCTGTTCCAGTGTGTGATAATCCTTTCGGTGAAGAACTTCTTCTTTACATCCAATCTAAACCTCCCCTGGTGCAGCTTGAGACCATTCCCCCTCGTCCGATCATCTGTCATTAGGGAGAAGAGACCAACACCCTCTTCTCCACAACCTCCTTTCAGGTAGTTGTAGGCAGTGATCAGGGCTCCTCTCAGCCTCCTCTTCTCAAGGCTAAACAAGCCCAGTTCCCTCAGTCGCTCCTCATAAGACATATTCTCCAGACCCTTCACCAGTTTTGTGGCCCTTCTCTGGACACGCTCCAGGACCTTAATGTCTTTCTTGTAGTGAGGGGCCCAAAACGGAACACAGTACTCGAGGTGCGGCCTCACCAGTGCCGAGTACAGGGGGAGAATCCATTTTCTTCCATTAATATTTCTTCTGTCTTTTCCTGTTTCCCCAAAAGTTTTAATTTTTCCCTGTTCTCCTGCTTGTGTTTTGGAGGTTCTGGAAAAATGTCAGCATTACCCCAGCTCTACCACAATCTCAGTTTTTGGGCTTGTGTTATTTTGGCATCATGTCTACCCATTCATTTCAACAGAGTACACAACACTAAAACAGTTTCAAGATCATCAGTCTCCTGGAGGCATCACCCCTACCTCCAAACTGTGTAAACTATGGCAGTCCCTTTACTATCTTTATCAATAGAACCACAGTACTGACGTTTATTCTTGTACCTAACCGCAGTCAGTAACTGCGATAAATGTGTAGCTCAGTGACAGCAGGTGCCTCAAGGCGTCCACCTGCAAACGCAAGAGGCCCAAGCGAGTGCCAGTCCTTCGTCACCAGGATGCTCTGTTCAGGCCTGAGAGCAAACCCGCGCAGGGATACGCAGGACCAGCGCGGAAGTCCACGCTGCGCGCCCTGTTCCGCGGGTGGCGGGGGAAGCTCTGCAGCCGGCAACACAGCCTACTCCGGCCCGCGCCGAGGGGTTCTCTCACTACCCCGGCGTGGGGCAGCAACGCCGCTGCCTTGCAACATTTTAAAAATAATCATAATAGAACTTCAGGCAACGCGACATCTGAAAGGCCGAGGAGCAAAGCGGGGACGGCTCCGGGCCTCTTTCCACAGGGGAAAACCCACTCGTTACCTTCTGGCACTCACCGGAGCAGGTGGAGCCGAAGGCACCACTGTGATACCTGGTTGCCCGGGTGGGGCCGCGACCCTCGGCAGGCCGAGGCCGGCGCATGGCCAAAGCCGCGCTCCCGGAGCCGGAGGGAACTTCGAGGCCGAGATCGTTAAAATCCGTATCAACATGAAACGGGGAAAACACCCCGCGAGTTC